TCAGAAGGATCGCTGGGAAAGGAAGGGTTTGCTGCTTGCAGAATCGTGTCCGGAGCTGTGTGCTGGTGTGCAATGACAGCAGCAGGCAGGATAACCTGAGAAATGAGTTCCTTGCTCACCATTAGGTGGCAGTCTAAAACAGAGCACCCAAACCGTGCAAACCGGGAATTACAGTTCCTTGTCGAGACCTTTGTGCCGGGAACTTGATTAGAACTAGTATTTTCCAATAAATAAATAGAGAATATATCTAAGCATTAACTGCTCTTCCCAATCGGGATAGGTGGGCTGCTCGGTGCTCTCAGAGCCCCATCCAACACACATAAGAGGAAAACACCCACATCCAGAATTCTGTTAGAACTTCTGCAGTGTCTCTTCTTGTCACACTGTGACACTTATCCTGGAAGATTCGTACCCTCAGCATGCTGAAAGAAGTTGCTACCTGCTTTTTCAATTGGGCAGAATTCCCATGCTAGAACTGGACAGGATAGTGAGAGCAAATCACGTTCATAAGCCGTGTGTGTGCCTGAATCCTGGCAGCAGCTGCATCAGCTGTTACAAAGTGTAGTACTGGGCACGATGGGCAGAAGCTAGAAATAAAATCAGAGCTCAGTCAAAGCTACCAAAATGCTGCTGCTTTTATAATTTTCTGATGCACGGTGTAAGCGTGTCCAAGTGTTTGCATACAGATTTTATTTGACCTGAGCATGGACCGCTGTTCCTGTGAATCCCTGCTTGTGGCAGACAGGCACTCTCCAGTCTTGCTGCAGGCTGATTACATCTTTTTTGTTTGCTTGTTTGTTAATAAAAAGCACGTCCTTCTAAAATCTAGCCTAAGTGCAAACAGTGCACAGCTGTACAGCTGCTCTGGGGCTGTTCTTATCTTGACTAAGCCAGAAGAGCATGTCAGCCCACAGTAGACATAGCCTGAAGCGATCATAGATGTGAGCCTCAGCTGGCACTGCTGGTGCCCCTCTGAGTATCCACGAGGGCAGGTTGGGCCTTCCCCACTCAACTCCCTGCCTATATTCTAAGTCATCACATAAACATGGCAATGTGTGTGTATTGCTTTTTTGTGGAATGCATATTATTTCTGGAAGAGACTGCAGCCTTGACTTCAGCTTAGCTTGTAATTCGGAGCCACCTGTAGAGAGGATCTATGGATTGCATAACAGTTTGGATAATAAATGATAGCAAGAAGTCTTAGAAGGTCTAGAAGGAGAGCTGAAACCATTTCTATAGGTGGGTGTTAGGGAAGGCAGTTGTGACTCTACTCACACTGAACCAATTCTTAGGTTTCACCCTGAGCAGACCAAGCTCACCTCCAAGGCTTCCTGCCAATGCTCAGCGGGCAGCACGAGTGGCAGCAGTGTGCTTCTGCCCCAGAGGGATGCTTCTGGTCATGGGGACCTGCAGGTGCTTCCTGTGAGTCTATTCACATGAGTAAGGGCTTCTGTGTGTTTCTCTTTCAGGTAACTGTAAGGGCCCTGCAGCAGTGTTTGGCACCAACTGGTTCAGCAGCTGCAGCCAGAGCCACCAGTGGTAGTGCTGTGCTCTGAAGGATTCTGAGAAGAGCTGTGAGAATATACAAAAGTCACAAACACACCCAGTGGTGAGAGCCCTGCAGCCCAGCCTGCTCCATTCCACATGCCACAGCCTGAGCACTGTCACCAGTTGCCTACGAGGAGAACAGCAGTGGGAAGCCTTTAAAACTGCCAGGTAAATGTGTCATTAACCAGGTATGCTCATTTAAGCTTAGCATTACCAAAAGCCTGAGGGACTGTGATTTCTAGAAACGCTTACATCAAGACTGGCTGTTCCTTAAAAGGAAAAGTTAAAGATTGAGGGCAGTCCTCTGGCACATGTAGTGCAACAGAACCTGGAGCCCCGTGCCTGCACCAGAGGAGATGGGCATGAATGGAAACATGGGAGGTTCTGTCTGAAATCAGAAAATACTCCAGAATTAGGGTGACTCTGCCCTGGCACAGGCTGTCCAGAGGCTGTGGGGTTCCCTCCTTGAAAACATTCAGGCACCTGGGTGTGGGCCTGGGCAGCCTGTGCCAGGAGGCCCTGCCCAAACAAGGGTTGGGCTTGCAGAGGTCTTTTCTGATCTTTTCCGTTCTGGGATATTTCTCTTGGCTTCAGGATCTACTGACACAACTCAGAATAGATATCATTCTCTGCTGAGTTTCTTGAGAAAGCAGAAGCAGTACTGCTTACCAGGGTACCAGCTTACTGCTGTCTGGTAACACAGTGGGTGAAGCCAGGGCAGTTCCTGATCAAGTTGCTATTCATTAATAGCAATTAACTTACGTACATCTGATGTTGAGCTTCAGTAATCAAAACTGTTGGTTTCGTTTTTTGTAAATACTCTTTATGTAGCTAATATAGTACAAAATTATCCTCTGCCACAAAAACATTATGCATGAGCGACACAAGAGAAACAAAAGGAATTTATAGCAGCTTGTTGCCTGCCTTCACATCATATATAGAGTTTCCTATGTATTCAGTTCCTTCAAAAATTAATACAATCATCTGAAAAATAAGCTGTCTACACTGCATAAAGACTAAGGTTAAAGATTAATTACTTTGAAAGCAACACAGTCAAATCTAGCTTCTTCATATATTTACGTAGATATAGAGCTCTTAAGACATTTTATAGATTCCTGTTGTGTTCTTAAGGCTGATTTTGACTACAAGCACTCTCATAGCCTACCCTGTTAAAAGTTAAATAGGGCTTGAAGCCAGCACAGAATATACATTTGCTGGTATCAGCTCTGACTTGTTTAGTTTCAGAGTTTTTTACAGCTTAAGGATTGTTCTCCCAGTGCCATTAGGTTTAATGCTGGGGGAGGAAGTGGTCCTGGCTCAAGGTGAGTAGGAACAGCCTCACTGAGGCAGGAGCTGCTCTTTGTCAGCTGAACAAAATCACACTTCTGCTCAGGAAGGCTTTCACTGCATTTGACTTCACTACGAACTGAAGCTTTCAGCAAGATGAGCTATTATTGTTTAGGGCCCAGAGATTCCCAGACCTTCCTCCTCCTGAGGAGCAGCAGGCCTTGCCAGACCACAGCTCCCCACCGAGCCCGGAGCTCAGCAGCCGCTGCCACCCGCCCTCTCTGGGAGCCCAGCAGGGCTGAGCTGCAGGCCGTCGAGGCGCGGAGCCCGAAGGTCTGCCCCCCTCAGCACAGCAGCGGCTCCTTCCGGAGGATATTATTTTATCAGCTAACCAGCAGGAGCGCTCTCACCGAAGAACAGCATTTCCTTTGTTAGCGTGGCTCAAAGTTCCCTTAGGAAACGTTTTCCCTAAAAGATTACCCTTCAAAGCACATCAAATCAAATCAAATCATGTCCCAGCTGCACTGCTAACAGACGGAGGCGGCGCCGTTACGCTGCCAGGTGTGCGCACAGCCATCCTTACAGGGCTCCTCACAGCACTTCTCTCCTGCACTTGGTGTCCTCCCCCAGGGAGGTGCCACATCTGCTTATAAACAAACACAACTGCCACCATCTCTCCACCTTATTTATTTTGCGCCTGAACGTAAAGCTGCACAAAATGAAGAACTGGAATGAAGTAAATGGAAGCAATGAATGGGAGTCAGGATCTTCTGAGGTTCAGCTGAAGGCACCACAAGATTTCCATTCATAGTGCTGAATTATTTCCTTACCTCTGGCACACTTTTGGTAAAATGAATGCAGTGCTATTGCTCACACGATAAAATTAACTGACGCTAAAACCTAGAAAGTGTTGCTGAAACACAGGAAGTGCTCCAGGTTTCAAGCTCTGAATTTAAGATCTAATTGATTTGACTGTATGTAATGAAGTCAGTTTTGATTTCCCAGAGTGAAGTACGTAATTAAGTAGCACAGCACTGAGACAGACAACGCTAACTGGAGCCACAGCCTCCACAACACAAAACCCTCGGTTGTCCTCAGCAGCTCTCAGTCTTGTGTCTCACAGCAGTGCTGTGTGAGGTCAGTGCTGCCAAGGCCAGAAAGAAACCTTGTCATTTTGAACTTCAGTATGACAGCAGCTCTTATTTGCAGTTCCACCCACTCACTGTGCACAGGAAGAGTCTGATCATAAAAACACAGTTATGACAGGCCTTACAAGCCTTCCTTACCTGACTGCAGCAGAATACATGGGTTAGATAAACTGCAGCAGTACCCCATAGAGGTAAAGAGCAGACCTTCTTAAGGTTCATGCAGCAGAAAGCTGCTATTTTGGGGGGCACAGTTGGTAACTCAGGAGTTCTAATGAGCCTCTGAAGACTTCTAAGGCCTGGAGAAGTTGGAGGAGAAGGGCACAGCAATAGGTTCCCCTTTTGGTCAGGACACTTACACTGGAACACAGCCAGCATCTGTTTTTACTCTAGATAGTTTTGACAGACAATGTATTTTAAGAAAAGAAAAAAACAACAACAACAAAAAAACTAACACAATGCATTGCTTAGTAGGTAGTAATTGTCACTATTTGAGTTGCTTGCTTTGGCTGATCAAACAGGACGTTTTGTCCCATGTGACACTCTGCATTCCCAATAAAATCTCCATCAGACTGACTGACGTGATAACCTATAGCAGAACTGCACTGAACTGGAGTGGCAGCTGGAGGCCAGGTTGGCTTCTCTAAGGCATTTCTCTTGACTTTTTATTTTAACATTTGAAATTCTGTGATGTCTGAGCATTCACTGACTGTGCCCTACTCCTCACTGAGCAGATGCTGGCTGAGACAGCATCACTTCAACCTGTATGGCCACAAGAAAAGCAGGGGCTGAGTGTACCTGCGAGGTAGAAAATGCTGTGTGCTGAGAGTCTGTGATACCTGCATCACGGATGGATGTTCACCTACAGCATTAGGATACATGCAGGATGTATCTACCATATGTATCCCAAGAGCAGCAGCTACTGGTAAGTAACATTTGTTTTCTCCAGGTAATCAGTAGAATCTGTGTCTGTACCAACAATCTCTTGTATCAGATACAAAACCCTCCACTTTGAAGCCTTGAGGCTATATTGCAGCAGACAGCTCTAAGTTCAGAGCAAAAATCACTTTCTTCTTTTGTATAAAAATATACAACCAGTCACCAAAAGGTAAGTTACATCTTAGATGAAAGTTGATCCAACTTGGGAGACAGGACTGTATTTTCTGGGCAAACTGATGTATTACGTTATCTAGGGGCTGGCAGCCCTGCCTGTGGCGGGGGGTTGGAACTTGGTGACCCTTGAGGTCCCTTCCAACCCGAGCCATTCTATGATTTTATGATTTACTCATCAAAACTATGGCAAAGGACATAATCCCACTGTTCTTAAATCAGTCTGAGGCACACACTAAAGGAGATAATTGCAGTGAATTCATCAATTTCTGGCCAACGCTTTTGGAATACATTTGGACTATTCTAGATCCTCCTCCAAGGCAACGTATGTATTTGCAATATTTTTTATCCATCATTCAGGACATGATGTTCCAGTACAGAATTTCTGATATCAATTAACTTGAGAGAGTTGGAAAGCTTACCTTGAAGTTGTGCACATAATGTTGACATTAAAAAAGAAAATGCTGCCAGCCATTTGTTTAAGTGCCAAAATGAAAGTGCTCTGCTCAGGCTCAAACCAGCCACCTCATTGTTCCCATCCTATCTTACAAGATAATCAGGTGTCCAGGCCATTCTCCACCCTTTTCTCATTTTCTCTGCAGGGAAGCATGAGATCAGCAGCTTTCTCCTCTTGTTCTTCCTCCTACCTCCCCCTTATAATGACTGGTATTTGTTTTGATTTATTGGAATTTCTTTTCTTAAATAGAAAAAAAATCCTGGCATAGAAAATGAGGACATCTGCAGCCTAAGGATGCGGTGTCTTGAGCCCCTCTATAGTCAGACCTACTCTATAGAATCATAATCAGCACTTACATCTTAACTTTAAATCTTTGGTTTTTGCTCTGAATTGCATTGTAGAAATTTCTTCTTGGCTGTAGAGGAAGCACAAGGAGATGAACTTTGCTGGGCTAAAGAGAGTCAATCCACTGTTGTGATTACAGAATCACAGAACTGTAGGGGATGGAAGGGACCTCTGAAAATCATCCAGTCCAAGAGCTCCATTAGCAGCTTTATAATTGCTAATTTGATATTCCAGCATTCTGTGATCTCTCTGGAAGTAGGAGGTTTTAGAGGCACAGAAATGATCACATATACCGCCCAGCATCCTAAGACATAAGCCTATTGCTGCCAGGAATGTAAACATAGGAGAAATACAAATAGCTACAAAAAGCAAGATTTGATAGAGTCAAAATTCTAAAAAAAATAGGAAACACAGTCTGGATGATTACATAAACATTCCATTAAGATCCACTTTTGTTAATCACCCATTTCGCATAGTTTGGTTACTACTTCAAGTCTTTCCAGCTGTATAGTTTTCAGCAATGTCAGATGATAACATATAGTTTGTGTTTATTTCCTCTGATAAAAATCATGAATTGTATCTCAACCTATCAGAAAACAAGTACTAGCCACAGAAAAAAATTACAGGACACAACTTCAGGGATGCAGAATTCCTCTTGCTAAAGCCTTCTGTGCTTTGTTCATACTAGTTCTGATGATGTCTCCATTACCAGTCTCTCCTGCCATGCCTTCCTAGCTGTATGACATAGGGGCTAATGACAAATTGATAGGAGAAGAGTTTCTGGCCACAAGCTAATTCACACTATTCAAGGCCAGACAGGCCAACGAGAAAAGTGTCTGAAGCGTGGCATGAGTAGCTGCCGTTGTGGCAGGACAAGGTGTCCTTTCACTACTGGCAGAACAACAGAGTAAATAAACTTGAGGGCAAATTGATTCCCAGCCATAAATTCTGTTCTGTTCTATTCTAACAATATTTCCTTGGTACATCTAATGGCAGAGTGGCACAGAGGGTGATACTCGCATTACAATTCATGTTTTCAGCCTATTGCTGCTGCCCTGTATTGCCTCGTTTCACGGTTTGCCTTAATTTTTTGGACTTATTTGCACCTGTTTTTTGGAGTCACTTTTATTATTCTCTCAAAACTGCTAGGCAGTGTAGCCCACATATGTAGAGTGACATGAAGAGACTGGAAAAACTGACACATTTCCAAATGTTAAACTTTTCTGTGTTAATTGACTTTTTTAAAAACCACACTTGTTTCTACAGTAATAGCTGGATTCCTTTCTCATTTCATATTCCTTCCCTCCTCTCTTGGCAGACATCCTCCCTTCCCTTGAGGACTTAAGGAGGAAGGGAGGGAAGCAAGGCAAGCTTTCCACCCTGCGGCAGAACCAAGCATGCCTGCACCAAGCAGGGAACTGTGTCCTGCTGAGGACTCTCAGCCTATGGGTTTAGTGGATTTCAGTTGCATGCCATGACAGATTATGCTGTGGATTATCTTCAGATACATGCAGGAGAGGTATTTCAAGGTATTTTTGCCTTTTAATCCTTATTTAGCAAAAGCCTTTCAACATAACTTTGTGGTACATCCAAATACCTTTATCATTTTAGTACCAAATACTACATTGTGTTACTAATAGACAAACACTGTAGTTTAGAGCCCGGTTATGTGTGGTACCAATTCTTTTTCTGTGAGTTACTGCCCTGAATTGTCAATGGATTTCAGAAAGGAAATGTAAGCAAAATGTTCAAGCAATGAGAAATAAAATAATGGCCTCTGGATAAAACCCACTTTATTCTACTATAATTGTATCAATTGTATAATCTCATAAAATATAAGGCTTACTAAAGAAAAGAATAAGAGACATACTTTAGCTTTGTGAAAATTTCCCCCCTCAGATCTGAAGGAAGGAAGTTAACATTCTAAAAACAGGAGTAGTTGGTATACAATAAAATAAAATCAGTATCTGTTGCTACATGACTTCTATTGAATTAATTCTGGTACATCTTCAAGCTCCTTTAGACAACTAGTGAGCCTGCTTTACCCATCTAGCTGCCAAAGTCTTCCATCCCTTAGTAATTCAAAATGTTCTTAGTTCAGAAATGGTTCCATCACTGCTTTTATTTTGGCCTTGTCTTTTACTGTGTTGTGCTTGAATCATGGTTGTGTAATTTGTTTCACTACAGAACACCAAAAACAGACTATTAGGAATAATGAATTAGTCCGTCCATTATAGCGGGTACAGTCTGCTAATGAAATTATGGACCAGAAGCTCATGTCCTTGCAGCATGCTCTAGTCAGGTTCATTAAAGCACAGGGGATAAACTCAGTTTTTTACTCAGCTGAATCTGAAGCTTTGAACAAATGAGTTCCCAAACTAATTCTTATGACTGCAAAAATGAAAGGCCATTTTAATAGCATTTGGAAAACAATATATATTTTAGTTATATCAAACTAGGAAGTCAGTAATTAGTATTTTAAGCTTAAGGGAACAAATATTGGGCTTTCTCTATAAATGATTAAACATTCAGTGAAATTAAATCAGCTCTAAAACTTGAAGTTTCTGTACAGGCCTAGACATCTTCTTATGTGTACAGTCCTAATGGCCATATAATTTCTGAGCTGTTTTAACAAATATGTTTTGTTTGGATGGACACTATCTCTGTGACATGCACCTGAGTGCAACATGCAGAGGAAATACTGACCTGGCAGAGGGTTCACTTTCATTTCAGGGAAAGCTCTTCAGTGGATGGCAAGAGAATACACAGAAAAACTGTTTCCCTCTTTTCTCCTTTCACATCCTCACAAGATAAACATGCCGTCTTGCGAAATAATACATTCATTAAGTCTCCGTAAGTAGTTACCAGTTGAGAAGGGACCAATTGTAGTACCTCCGGAAATGGAAGGATTGACTCAGGGAGGTGTAAGGACCCACAGTGCTGTTTCAGGTGGCAGTGGGTGCAGAGAAATCAAAGGCTTCCTCCTGGAGTCAGAAGAGATGATTTCTCAGTCACTGACTCAAAGTCATTTTGGTCACAATTACAGAAACTAATTTCATGTACTACTTTCAGCAATGTGCTTTTCTCTGAAACTTCGTATGTGAGAGCCAGCTCCTCTGAGATGCCTAACTTTGAAAACATTATCTGCAAGCAACATTAATAAGATTTGAAAGCAAATTTCAAAATTCACATAATATAGTATCTAAAATCTTAACAGTCTGACCCTAACTGATGCAATACAAAAGAAGAATGGCACAAGGTCTGTGGTCAGACCAAAACTTGGTGCCCAATGAAGTGTTTAATTTCCATACAAGATGGAGATAATGTCACATGCACAAATGGACCAGGATCATGGCTGTCCTTCCTTCATCCACCTCAAGAGTAGAGGAAATTAGTGCACTAGGTTACCACTGCCTGCAGACACAACAAATATACTACCAACAGCCAGCACTGCAACATAAGGGGTCCAGCTTCTTAAAACTCTGCTAGAAATGTTTTCTAAACTGGCCTTGTATTTTATTCAGTTTCCAGGATAAATTCTACTTTTATCATTGAAGAATTTAATTTGAGAAAAAAAAAGTAACAATTGTTGTTTTTGTTATGGTTTGGTTTTTTTGTTTTTTTTTTGCTTTATATTTATATATCTGAGGTGATGGATAAAATGGGATAAAATCATCAAATACACCTCCCTGTTTAATCATATTTTCTAACTATAAAGATAGCATCGTCTTACAAGTGGTATGAGTATTACAGATGTGTATTTTATACAGCTTGAAAGTGCTTTCTGTTTTACATTTGCATATCTCAGCATGATAATCCTATCTCATAAAGTATGTATATACACAGATAAATTAAACCAGCCACGTCAAAATCAGACTAGAGATAATAAAGCATAGGGAAATGTGAAGTTGGCATCTCATGTGAGTTTAAAAGTTCTTTATTTAGTTTGTGGTACATTGATACCATCAGTACAACAGGCATAAGTTTCAGCTTCAAAAATTTCCTGATTTAAAGCGTAAAATTTTTGAATGTTTACTATAGCTGTTGCTGTTGCTTTGGCATAAGAGATTGTCTCACGGAGTGGAATGGGCAGTGTGTTTTACTGTTTGGTTGGCAATCTGATCAACGTGAAAAAAATTAGAAGAAAAGCTTCTCAAGTTTTGTGTGCTTGTGCACTAGAGATTATCAGTGTGATTTGTATCTTGGAAAATAAAGGATATGCTAAGGCTCAGGAAGGGCATTAATGTGCCCATCATATATCCCATTCTTCATTCTTCATAAGCTTTCTCATTAGAATGAGTTGGCAGGATGAGGCTACTATATTAGCAAATACTTTTGTGTGTTTGTGTAGGTAGGCATTACCATAGCCACAGTGTCCCTGCTAACTACTGCACCAGCACATACTTCTGTGTGTTTGTGTGGGTAAGCATTAGTCTGGCCTTGATGCCCACAATAAGCACTGTCCCTCATTGTCAGCAGCCTTGAAAGAATTCAGAGTTCTTTCCACAGAAGGCTTGTGTCACTGTTTATAAGTTGTGTGCAGGCGGGTAGGAGAAGAAGACTGCCCCAAGATGCAGAGATGGATGTGGCTAAACACTTAACAAACCTTGAAAATGAAAATAAACAGCCTCTATTGCAGTTTCCTTGGCGCCAATGTTCTTCCTGTTAGAGCACAGATTTTGGCAGTCGGCTGGGATAAGCACTTTGGCAGGCTGCTCTTCCTCGTGCTTTGGAGCAATGCCTGACTGGCTGGTGACAGCCATCAGTTGTCATCAGCTAAACCCATTTTCATGCTTTTTTTTTTTCTAACTTATCAAACAGTTTGTTTCTCTCTGGTTCATGGCTTATAGTTCCTCCTTCCTGAGCTGCTTACTAATCACTGACTCTTTTTCCCTTCTCTGCTGCTCCTCCAGCTTTGTCAGCTGTTCCAGGCTGCCTATTGCCCTTCTACTTTATCTTTTTGTTACTTTCAACGTAGACAATATCAGTATAGTTAAGATGTCTGGTCCAAAGACTTCTGAGGGCTGAAAAGCATTTCAGTTGCATACAGAGATTTACCTTAAGGACATCTGTCTGTTTGCAGAACAGACCATAGCTTAATAAAGGACATCTTTTAGCTGTTTGGTTACATTAAAGTGCTGGTCTCAAGCCAGGTCCTGACAAGGATCATCATTCTTGTGAAACCAATCAGTATAACTGCAATTCATTTAGAGCCCTGTAAGCAGACAGATGAAAACGAAATGGCTTGGTACATGATACAATCTCAATCCTGAAAAAAAATATAGTTCTTCAAAACTCTGCACTGGAGATTAGGTTTTTAACAAAGCCAACAGAGGATGTATTATCACCCATGCTCCACTGTAGTAAAAGTTCAGTTTCGACTGTAAGCTACATTTTGATTTTCCACCTCAAATTTAATGATACTGAAGTAAGCTCGCACCTTTGCTGTGGTAAAAAAAAGGTTTTACATAAGTAATGGCACCAAAAAATTGTGTCACATACACTCAATACAGCTATGAAAATACCTCCTTGGTGATGGCCTCAAAAAAACCTTCCCATGGACTAAATCAAGTGATGACAAAAATGATATGGCAGGGGTGCAGTGCTTACTTTCACACCTTGTTAATCAGAGTGACAAGGTATTATTCTATGGCATTCCCCAGAGAGAATCCCCCATATGGTCTCAGCAGAGATTTACGGAGGCAAGCAAGATGACTAAACAATAAGCAAAATAATGTGCTAAAAAGCTCTACCTAATATTGGAGTACCAGGAAACAAAATAATCTAACTGGGGCTAAGACACACTTTGCTCTGAATTTGTAATAAGAATTCAGAAACATTTGTTAACACTTAGGCACCTTACAGCTGCTGCTGTGATAATCCCAGTACAGATTATTCTGCAAAGTCTTGCATGACTGTTTCAAAACACTCACGGTCATTCCTCAGCAGCAGGAACAATGAGGTTGGAAGCCATAAATGTCTTTAGGTCCTACCCTTTCTAACAACACTTCCACATTTAACCTGTAACTTTCAGGGAGACATCCCATATCCTATAATATAACCAGGCCAGCCAGATCAGCTGAACAGCCAGCCTTCAAGAATGAGATTATTGCCATAAAAATGGCATTAAAATTGTACTCACTAGCATACTAGAAGCCTGTCAAGGCTTCGTGCCTTTTTAGATACAGACTGCTTCAATACGAAACACGACTCAACATATGGCTTCTTTCTCAATTGCTACAGCTTTAAGGAAAGTTAAAAAATCTACCTTTCATTTATGCTTGGTCTAATGGACATTAAGATAAAAATATTTGATGTGGACTAGATGCATAAGGTAACCCAGCTGGTAACTTTCCATCTTGTCAGGAACATTAAGCCCACTCCCTGAAATAAATTCTTGCTCAGTTTCATATGTCTTCTTGGGCTAAATACTCTCTTGCAGGGAGATGGAAGAAGACAGATTAATCAACAACCACAGAGACCAGGCCCAAAAATACTTTGGCAGAGATCAGGCCATAAATTGGCACAGTGCCTTGAAGTGAATTACATCCATGCCACTGGACTTAGTGGCCTTCCTCATATGGCTTACTATATATTCTTACATTGACTTGTAGCTAGCTCCATTTATTTACTTTTTTTTCCTCAAGCATCTTCAAAATACCAATATCATAACTATTAGAAGATTTCTAGTAATGGCATGTTTGGCACTCAGAAGCTCTCCTCTCTTACTTAATTTGGCTTTTATCCCTCTCTTCACTAGACATTTTGGATTCACTTTGCTGTTCTTTGTCCTACCCATTCAGTTTCCTGGTATAAATTTCTAGCAACTCACTGTAAACATTGATGTTTGACCAGCTCTGAGCTTTGAGAAGACTTCAGAGGAAATTGATGAATGTGAATTCCATGCAGAAAAGCACTAAATTATGAGAAAAAATATTCAGAACGCAGTTCAGACTTGAACTGGAACTGAGTTTCTGCCAGAAGATTGACTTTCTGCTGGCTGGCAAGGAAGCTCCATTGTTTGGTAGCAACTATCACACCATGAGAAGCTGAATTCTGTAAGTTAGTATTGGTTCAGAAAGCACAGCTGTCTTGCTAGTAATAGCCACACTAAACTAAACTGTTTTCAGCACTGCTGAAATATCCCATGTTCTATTTTTTGTTTGCAGCATGAAAGCTTTTATTTGGGATATGACAAATGGGCTTTCTGTGACCTCAGCTCAGCTCTATCTGCTGATAGAGACATTATTTTTGGCTGTAATGCCACTATCGCTTTAAATAATTTAGATTGGAAATATTCAGGATGAATTTCACAGGGAGATGCCTGCACTGGAAATCATCAAGTTTCCTATGGCATCCAGACCTGGGACACTGTCTAGAAGGAAGAAGCTCCCACCCCGTCTTGTACATAAGGAAAGGCTGTGCATCTCTACTCGAGAAACTCAGCTACCACATTGACTGTCTGCAGCGCAGTGCAGACTTCTCAGCTAACTTCAGATTAGCTGGCTGAGACCCACTAGAAATCTAGCTTTGGCACGTGATCCCGTGTAGATATGCCTGTCCAGTCACTCTGGCTGCGATGAGAGCCATCAGTTCAGCTCTTGGACTGTGAACTCAAGCAATGAAAGAAAATCATGACAGGCTGATAACAAGTAAAAGATCCACAAACTGTGTTCTTTGACCCTGAGACAGCAAAGTGCACACTGTGTTTTTCAGACTTGAGACATGCTTGTCAGCAAGAAAATTCCTAAAAGTGAAAATTGTCATGGAACTGTCAAATTTCAAGAATGTTGGTTTGGAGGAAAAAAAAACCTGGCATTGCAAAGCTCACTGCAAACTGAGAGCAGCTGACAACATTTGAATTGAAGAAACTGAGGACCCTTTTGATCCTGGATTTGTTGCATGCTTATGTTTCTGTTAATACCCATTACAGCCAGTGCCTGGTCCACTTCCATCCATTCAAAATATAAAATGCCTCCTGCTA